CAAAATACCATTTAGCTGATACGTATTATAATAAAGTTGTGGGCTTCGAAACATTAGATTTTTGAACACATTATTACTATATCTCCAAGAAAAGGATGATGTCATGAAATCATATGTACATTATGTAAACTCTCGGTACTTAGGCAATCAAATATGGACTGCAGTTAATTTGTACTTGTAGGAGTACTTTGCCAATATTTAGGAAATATCTAGCTTCAACTTTATTTAAATATCATTTAGATCAGATTTCAGAAATTATAATTCCATTGATATGAAAATTTTTTATAATCCTTATTATGCAATCAATGTAAGTGTAGACAGGATGCAATCAGAGTGGCAGTTTATTTAAGAGTTGTTTTGATTAATGATTATTGTAGTTTGTGTAGATTCATGGAAAATAGTATACATATGTATGTTGTGACCATTCATTTTATGTTTTTGGTTTCTATATTATACCTTTATCTCATATTGATAATATATCATCTTAATCAATCAAGGTACTGTATTGCATATGATATACTGGACTGGCATAACCAGGACCTATGACTCCAGTTTAGAGATTCAAATGTAGCCTGTCAAAATAACTGAAAATTATAAGGGATTCATGCATCATTACTTGACCGGGGGTTAGCACGAACCCCTTGAACCCCTGATAGCTACAGGCATAGGCCAGTGCCAGCAAAGATATGCTATCTTTTGTCCAGGGTACATGTACTTACTAACTAACTACATGTACATACTAACTGACCATTTGATATTGATTCATTAATATTCTGAAAATGTGATTTACTCTTCAATTGGCCAACTCAACAGATTGTTGATGATTATATTTCTTCAAGACTCATAAAAAACGATGTCAAAAATACCCCAATGGAAAGAAAATATTAAAAATGTTGAACATTTAGCAATAATTTGTTCACGCAAGTTGCACTGAGAACTTTGCCTTCATTTAAACCCTAAGCCAAAATTAAACATACACCACACTGATATTTTTACATTTTTGTCATGCAATATTTTTCAACAATTGAATATAGTATTTTACAACAGTTGATTTGTATTATTTTTATTTAGTGTATAGTAGTCTAATTTTAGCTTATTTTACTATATATAATACAAGACACAAAAATGAGACAAAACTATGTTTCAATATCAAGCCCATGGTTACAAGTGACATACATTATGATGCACCATTTGAACAAATAATTCAGAAAACTAGTTCAAGTCAGATTTTAATAAAATTTGCGCTTTTTGTAAAAAATTTACGATGCCATGCATTACAGATTGTCCCAATGTCCTTTTTTGGTGTATGGGGTATGGGTTAACTGTGTCGTGAGATAATTGGCTTTGCCGTCGGATAATTAGTTAAGCCGGGGGATAATTAGCTGAACCGGGGGATAATTGGCTGAACCGGGGGATAATTAGCTGAACCGGGGGATAATTGCCTCAACCAGGTTTAATATCATGTATGAAAGTTACAACTTTAAAGCAAATTCAATAAAAGTTTATAAATGGAGACATTGAACCATAAATAACCAAACTGGACTTCTTTACATTAAACCTACATGTACCTTTCTATCAAAGGTACAAGAGCCTTACGAAAATATTTTACACAAAGCACCTAAGTAGGTTAACAGATATTATAATAATTACAATATTGAGATACATTTTCCATCTTCGTCAAAATTATCAGCAAAGAAACATATTTTAGGTGACAATTTTAGCTTGACAATTTATCATTTATTCATACATACTCTTATTCATTGTTCTAGAATATCTAATTTCAAAAAGTTTATTTGCAAACTAAATGTAATGTCTCATGTAAAGGTACATATAAGATGTCTCAAACTTAATGCTAAAAGAGCAGAATTTCATGAACAGGGAACTGACAAGTTTATATAATTTGAAGATGTTTCCATAAAATCTTGGGGTAGGAGAAATCTTAGTTGGTATATGTTATGATAATAATTATTGATAATATAATTCAATGATTATATGACTTAGAATTTAATCTTGACATTTACCTTACAATTATGTTTCAGCATACGTTTTATTGTTGACTGTTGCTTTGTCATTTTCTAGCAACATGGAAAAGGTATCACAATTTACATGTATGGCCAGCATATGTGCATGATATTTAGGAAAGGGAGAAATATGAAGAAACCTTTAGTAACAACAATTCCAAATAGGTTTGAACATGAATAGGATAAAGATTTATATGTCAGAGTCCTATACCCCAACAATTTTAATAAGTTTTATTACAAGGTCGTATCTATACCCAAGAGTAAAGTCCTAGAACTCATGTTAAAGAGGTTGCTTAATAAATGAAAAGATTAGTTTTTTGTCGAAATATTGAAAAGGAAAAAATTGACACCATCTCTATTGAAAGCCAATGTTTGATATAAAAACTATATATATGTAATTCTAAGTCCTGTAGATTTGCTGATTATAGACTTTGTTTTTTGTTTTATCCTTCACAGAGATATATATAATATACTGGGTGTTTCATAATGAATGTCCCCCCATCTATCGCCATTCCTAGATGACAAACATCCATGCGTTATATATCATATGAAAGCATGTTCAATTCTTGACTTATTGAAACAACTTTGATTAAGCTCAGTAGCGTTTACCACTTGCTAAATATCACTACAAAAGGTCTCTATTTGATCTTTGGCATATAATCAAATAGTCATATTTTCTGTAGCTGTGTGTTCTGTTAAAAGCAATGATAACCAAGGTTCAGAACAGCATTATCTCCAGGAATGTACCAATTGTAGCACTTGATGGATCCTGAGGATAAATCTTAAAATTTAAAAGAAAAATTTATTATTTTAAAGCTCTTAATGATACAATGGATTATATAACTATCTGCTCCTTTCTTTCAACCCTTTGTGAATGTAGGCCATTAATCTAGCAAATTAGGGTGATGATTACTACCAAACATAAGTTCAAAGACTATGTTCCCAAAAATCAATTATGCCAATATTTAGTTCATAAGACAAGAACTGAAGGAGCTTTACGGTGATATACAGACTAAGGGGTCATGTGATTTAGGATTGACTGTAGATAGGACAGTCAGTATGAAACATCCTGTACAGTGTATATAGCAATGTGTGAAATCAAAAATCAAATTACAGATGGAAGCTTGATGATCTGATGAGCAGTGATTTATGAATTTAAAACATTACGATTATTTGGGATATGACCACAATATGTCATAGCTGTGGTATTGTATTGTATTGTATTTTGTTTACCACCAATGAAGGTGAGCAATACCTCTTGGGTATGTCCCGTATATATACGGTTGTAATTTACGTAATTAACATGGAAGATAGACCCAGAAACCCCTCCTTGAAGGAGCCCTGTGTTCTTTTATGTGCACTTATACATAGACATATAAGTACACACCACAGCCTTTTTGTACGAGTTGCGGACCACTCAGTCAAACACCCTGAAGTACTTCACGCAAACAAGCAAATTTAGTCTTGCCTGAACCGGGGATCGAATCCGGGACCTATTGCGTAAGAGGTACCTGCGCTACCGCTGAGCTACACGGGTGAGATATTGATAATAAAATTATGGGCAGATATTTTCTTTCTAAGAAAACTGTTAACAAAACGTCACAATTCTCATAATAGGAATAGAATAATTGTAACTGTATTTCCAAACCTAAACTAGCATTGCCCTCTATACACAAGCAAAAGAATTATTCAGTGACAAGGGCTTGCCGAGGGGAAGCCGGGGGCATCAACTTTGGAAGAAATTCTGGGTGTGCCGGGGGAGCGGGGGCAACCAACCCCGGCAATCTAAAAGTCAATGAGAGTTTAACATGTCCCCCAAACCGGGGCCCCGGCCAACCCCTGTCACATCTGACGGGGGCAAATGACCCGGGTAATCTTTTGTTCTCTACTAAATTGACATGGGCGTTTACTGGTGACTGCCCCCAAATGCCCCTGGGACTTTTCATAAGGGTACGTAACAGACAATTTATTGTTTTACAATATTTTGATTGGCTAAACGAATGAAACCAACAAATTATGACATGTAAAATGACAATTTTGAAATGTAAAATTTAAAAGTGACAAACACAACCTCCCTATCCACTCTTTGGGAGCCCTAGTAAATTAGTAATATGTACATGCAGCAGTGGTAGTGTACAGCTTATTATCACACTACGCTTTGTATTCTAAAGCCTGTTGTTTGTAATAACACTGTTCACTCAACGTATGTTTTGTGTGTGGGCAGTCAACGATAATCATTGTTTTATCCCGGTTATATGACCTCGGTAATTATAACAGAACCGTACTAAACGAAAAAACGCAAATAAGAGAAAGCTTTCACACACATATAAAAAATGAACTGGTCTAATCCGCTAATATACACTCTGTGCTATACGTAGCCGGGTCAGGCGCACACTTTAAAAGAGAAATTACATCAGACGGACTCAGCAGTTGATTTGGCATATATTGTTGGTACCACTATTTCAAAGAGGCAGAAAGTCAGGTGAAGATGAACTCAGACCAAAAGCTTTCCCTAGTCAGATTAATACAATAAAAGAAATATTGGATGGGAAAAGGGGGAAAAATTGCAGACATAGCTTTTTTCATAAGGGAATTGCTCAGTCCAAAGTTCGGTTCAGTAAGGAAGTCTGTCCTCTAACTTAAAGTAGATGAATAAGAATACTTAAAGCCAATTACACATCGATTGCCACACAGGAAGGTAACTTGGCATAGTACTAATTTTACCACCTCTCACAGTGGTCAAAATTGCTCAGTCATACATGACAGTTACATAATGATTTTGGTACCATTTGATGGAGAATAAATCAGGCGTTTTTACTGCTACCTTTGCATTTTAAAAAAATTGCTTAGGATTCTAGTAATTTGGATTTAAAGTTGGGTATACTTTTTTGTGGACGCCCTGTAGTTTGAGGAGTTCAGTACCAGTGATGTTCGAATTGCCCCTAAATGATGTGACGGTTACGTTTATATTCTACTTACTGTAAAACAAATAATTCATAATCGTAAAGTATTTTGTTCATATGCCTGGCAATCAATCGTTCGTCATACACTGGAATAGTCTTTCTTTGTAGAACGACATAAGGTTCGAAACTTCCCCCACCTTTTATCTACAAATATAAAATGTATTTTGATTTTGAGGAGACATAAAACTACGCGGCCGTGGGTTGTCATACGTTCTTTAAATGATAACGCACGGCCCATAAAGGTAAATTGTAACCCAGGGCAGCCGCAATTCGACCGTTCACCCGACGCACGACCATCGTTGGCTCTTTCTACGGTATACGTCATGAGATAGATTTCAGGAAACTTGAAAGGTGTTAGCATGGCAATTAGCATAAGCATGGGTAGAGGATATATTACATTGTCTCTTTACACGATAGATTATAGTCTTGGATATTTGGGATTCGTTTCCCTTATGACTGGTTGATCTCCAAAATGTATTATTTTCTTGCTCTGTTTGTCGCCTCATCCCTTCTGCATACAGATTTATCTTGAACCAAACATGAACCCCCTCCCCCTGAGTCTGGTAGGGGTGTCCATGAATTTAGTAAAAGTCATCATACCTTGCTGATAGAAAAGTGTATTGTATCTGATTGTATACAGAAATTGTTAACAAAAGTAAAGCAATTGTTACCTTGTACGTTTTATATATATATTTCTTTATTGCGACCAATTCTGATCATATACATACATTGGTTGCGTTCATAAAACATTTGCTTGCATTGGGAATTTTTGTTATACCATTCAAATCAATTGTTAACAAATTAAAAGTAAAACAATTGTTACCTTTTACGCTTTGGTTGCGTTCATAAAACATTCGCTTGCATTGCTAATTTTTGTTATACCATTCAAATAAATTGTTAACAAAAGTAAAGCAATTGTTACCTTGTACGCTTTGGCTGCGTTCATAAAACATTCGCTTGCATTGCTAGTTTTTGTTAATAAGCTATTCAAATCAATTGTTAACAAAAGTAAAACAATTGTTACCTTGTACGCTTTGGTTGCGTTCATAAAACATTCGCTTGCATTGCTAGTTTTTGATATGCTATTCAAATCAATTGTTCACAAAAGTAAAGCAATTGTTACCTTATACGCTTTGGTTGCTTTCATAAAACATTCGCTTGCATTGCTAGTTTTTGTTATGCTATTCATATCGATTGTTCACAAAAGTAAAACAATTGTTACCTTTTACGCTTTGGTTGCGTTCATAAAACATTCGCTTGCATTGCTAGTTTTTGTTATGTTATTCAAATCAATTGTTAACAAAAGTAAAGCAATTGTTACCTTATAAGCTTTGGTTGCTTTCATAAAACATTCGCTTGCATTGCAAGTTTTTGTTATGCTATTCATATCGATTGTTCACAAAAGTAAAACAATTGTTACCTTTTACGCTTTGGTTGCGTTCATAAAACATTCGCTTGCATTGCTAGTTTTTGTTATGCTATTCATATCGATTGTTCACAAAAGTAAAGCAATTGTTACCTTATACGCTTTGGTTGCGTTCATTAAACATTCGCTTGCATTGTTAATTTTTGTTATGCTATTTATATCGATTGTTAACAAAAGTAAAGCAATTGTTACCTTATACGCTTTGGTTGCATTCATAAAACATTCGCTTGCATTGCTAGTTTTTGTTGTGCTATTCAAATCAATTGTTCACAAAAGTAAAGCAATTGTTACCTTATACGCTTTGGTTGCGTTCATAAAACATTCGCTTGCATTGCTAAATTTTATTATACCATCCAAATCAATTGTTAACAAAAGTAAAACAATTGTTACCTTTTACGCTTTGGTTGCGTTCATAAAACATTCGCTTGCATTGCTAAATTTTGTTATACCATCCAAATCAATTGTAAACAAAAGTAAAACAATTGTTACCTTATATGCTTTGGTTGCGTTCATAAAACATTCGCTTGCATTGCTAATTTTTGTTATACTATCCAAATCAATTGTTCACAAAAGTAAAACAATTGTTACCTTTTACGCTTTGGTTGCGTTCATAAAACATTCGCTTGCATTGCTAATCTTTGTTATACCATCCAAATCAATTGTTAACAAAAGTAAAACAATTGTTACCTTATACGCTTTGGTTGCGTTCATAAAACATTCGCTTGCATTGCTAAATTTTGTTATACCATCCAAATCAATTGTTCACAAAAGTAAAACAATTGTTACCTTTTATGCTTTGGTTGCGTTCATAAAACATTCGCTTGCATTGCTTATCTTTGTTATACCATCCAAATCAATTGTTAACAAAAGTAAAACAATTGTTACCTTATACGCTTTGGTTGCGTTCATAAAACATTCGCTTGCATTGCTAAATTTTGTTATACCATCCAAATCAATTGTTCACAAAAGTAAAACAATTGTTACCTTTTACGCTTTGGTTGCGTTCATAAAACATTCACTTGCATTGCTAATTTTTGTTATGCTATTCATATCAATTGTTCACAAAAGTAAAACAATTGTTACCTTTTACGCTTTGGTTGCGTTCATAAAACATTCGCTTGCATTGCTAATTTTTGTTATTCCATCCAAATCAATTGTTAACAAAAGTAAAACAATTGTTACCTTGTACGCTTTGGTTGGGTTCATAAAACATTCGCTTGCATTGCTAATTTTTGTTATACCATCCAAATCAATTGTTCACAAAAGTAAAACAATTGTTACCTTTTACGCTTTGGTTGCGTTCATAAAACATTCGCTTGCATTGCTAATTTTTGTTATACCATCCAAATCAATTGTTCACAAAAGTAAAACAATTGTTACCTTGTACGCTTTGGTTGCGTTCATAAAACATTCGCTTGCATTGCTAATGTTTGTTATACCATCCAAATCAATTGTTCACAAAAGTAAAACAATTGTTACCTTATACGCTTTGGTTGCTTTCATAAAACATTCGCTTGTATTGCTAATTTTTGTTATACCATCCAAATCAATTGTTAACAAAAGTAAAACAATTGTTACCTTGTACGCTTTGGTTGCGTTCATAAAACATTCGCTTGCATTGCTAATTTTTGTTATACCATCCAAATCAATTGTTCACAAAAGTAAAACAATTGTTACCTTTTACGCTTTGGTTGCGTTCATAAAACATTCGTTTCCATTGCTAGTTTTTGTTAATAAGCTATTCAAATCAATTGTTCACAAAAGTAAAACAATTGTTACCTTTTACGCTTTGGTTGCGTTCATAAAACATTCGCTTGTATTGCTAATGTTTGTTATACAATCCAAATCAATTGTTAACATTGGTAAAAAAATTGTTACCTTGTACGCTTTGGTTGCGTTCATAAAACATTCGCTTGCATTGCTAGTTTTTGTTAATAAGCTATTCAAATCAATTGTTCACAAAAGTAAAATAATTGTTACCTTTTACGCTTTGGTTGCGTTCATAAAACATTCGCTTGTATTGCTAGTTTTTGTTAATAAGCTATTCAAATCAATTGTTAACAAAAGTAAAGCAATTGTTACATTTTACGCTTTGGTTGCTTTCATAAAACATTCGCTTGCATTGCTAGTTTTTGTTAATAAGCTATTCAAATCAATTGTTAACAAAAGTATAACAATTGTTGCCTTTTACGCTTTAGTTGCGTTCATAAAACATTCGCTTGCATTGTTAATTTTTGTTAATAAGCTATTCAAATCAATTGTTAACAAAAGTAAAACAATTGTTGCCTTTTACGCTTTAGTTGCGTTCATAAAACATTCGCTTGCATTGCTAGTCTTTGTTAATAAGCTATTCAAATCAATTGTTAACAAAAGTAAAACAATTGTTACCTTTTACGCTTTGGTTGCGTTCATAAAACATTCGCTTGTATTGCTAGTTTTTGTTAATAAGCTATTCAAATCAATTGTTAACAAAAGTAAAGCAATTGTTACATTTTACGCTTTGGTTGCGTTCATAAAACATTCGCTTGCATTGCTAGTTTTTGTTAATAAGCTTTTCAAATCAATTGTTAACAAAAGTAAAACAATTGTTGCCTTTTACGCTTTAGTTGCGTTCATAAAACATTCGCTTGCATTGCATATTTTTAATAAGCTATTCAAATCAATTGTTAACAAAAGTAAAACAATTGTTGCCTTTTACGCTTTAGTTGCGTTCATAAAACATTCGCTTGCATTTCTAATTTTTGTTATACCATCCAAATCAATTGTTCACAAAAGTAAAACAATTGTTACCTTTTACGCTTTGGTTGCTTTCATAAAACATTCGCTTGCATTGCTAGTTTTTGTTAATAAGCTATTCAAATCAATTGTTAACAAAAGTTAAACAATTGTTGCCTTTTACGCTTTAGTTGCGTTCATAAAACATTCGCTTGCATTGCTAATTTTTGTTATGCTATTCATATCAATTGTTCTCAAAAGTAAAGGAATTGTTACCTTATACGCTTTGGTTGCATTCATAAAATGTGCCCAGTTTGTGTTACGATGACATTGGGGGCATCTGGAAAAACTGGAAATAAAATTATATGTGTTCACGTACAATCCCATCAGGCTTCAGAAATGGTGTACTGATGAAATACAGAAGTTAGTCTAGGGATTATACAGGGTGTCCAGAGAGTAAAGATACAAATACTTTAATGTTGAGAGATTTAGTTTTTATTTCACCACCAAGAAGTGGTGACATATTGTTATGGTCTCCGTTTTTTGTGGAGGTGGTTGGAAGGTGACGATCGTCGGTCAGCAGGTGGCGGGCGGCGATTGTCGTCTGTAACAAATTCTTAAAACTTCCAATAACTTAATAAATACTGTTTAGACTGACTTCATTTTTTCGAAATCATCTGTAGCTTTCAGATGTTCAAATCTGACTTCAGATTTAAGATTTGACCTTTTCAAGGTCAACGAAAGATCAAAAAGGTATTTTTTCAACTTCGTTCAAATTGACCATTTTTTTTACTAAATCATCTACAAGTTCTCAGAAGTTCAAATCTGACTTTAGATTTGAGATTTCACCTTCAATGACATTCTCGGGGTCAAAAACTTACTTCAAATTGACCAATTTTTTCAAAATCATCTACAAGTTCCCAGAAGTTCAAATCTGACTTTAGATTTGAGATTTTACCTTAAATGACAATCTCGGTGTCAAAAACTTGCTTCAAATTGACCAATTTTTTTCAAATCTGACTTAACATTGAACTTATAATATTGTGAACAACTAGGTGGTGACATTTTGTCATGTTAATGCCTTGTTTTGTAATGAAATATAACCATTTGAAACAGTGTTTATTAAATCATTATTGTATTTCCTATCAATGTTTTGTTTTGTTCAATATTGTATTCTTGTTGCCATTGTGTTCTCTTTGGTATAATGGTATCATTGATTCAAATCAGAACTATGTAATGCCACGAACCGGTATAATCAAAGAAGAGTTATATATAAGTGCTTAGAAAAGGTCCCTGGATTAATAAGAAAGTAAATAATACACCTTCAATAATCGGTTTAAGAGAAAAACATTGTTAAATTCAGTTCACCATATCGAAGTATAAATATATTGTAACGGAATTTTAAATGTAAAATTTTTGATTTTTGATAAAGTGCTGTATTTTTGTACATTAGGTAATTATTACACTTGGAAAGTAATTTCCCATTGAGATTATTAAGATTTATAAATGTAGTATCATTTGCAGCACTTAGGTTGTACTTACAGAGGTGAAATAGTTCACATGTTTTATTTATCTGATCACGATTTTGTTTATGTTGATCGGGCAGTCTTATCTGGCAGTCTAATTTGTAGTTGATCGGTAGTCTAACATGACAACTTTATTATTTTACTTCCTGCTTTTGATTCGATTGAATCGAAGGGAAATTAGACTAGATAGTGATTAATTACTGTTATATTTCTTGAGTCAATATTATAATCTTGCTGTATGATCAATATTGAAGCGAAATATGGCGTAAATAAGCTGTAATTCACAGTTGAAATCTTGTACGAAAATTAATGACGTCATCGGACCTATATAAGTATCTCGCTGTTGAAGGCTCGTCAGTGCGATGCCAGATGTTGTCGAGGAAGGACCTCCAGAGCGGAATTTCGGGAAACAGCTAAAATCTTCTAAGTTTTATAGAACTTAGTCGATTTTGTGGTGTTGAGGCTATACGTTTGCAGTATACACAACATGAAGATAGAAGCTGTACCTTAGTAGAATACATCTGATGAGCCAAGCTATACGTTTGCAGTATACAAGGGCAGATTGAAGAAACTAAGTGTGGGAAACTTAGTTTGTTTTGGAGATTGGAATTTTGGGAAAACTTTGATGCAACTAAGTGTTTGAGACTTAGTTTATTTATCGCACTGAAAGTAAGGGAGATCTACAAGACTGGACAGAACTTCAACAGGGTGAAGCTATCCCCAGCGCAAAGCATTAGACGTATTGTCCAGCCTTCATAGACTGAGAGGAAATGCTGACATAACTTGTGTTTGAGAAACAAGCTATTTTGATCATCAAGGAACTTAGACGATTTACAACATTATTGGACTTAGACAGTATTTGGTGAAACATTATTTTGGACTTTGTTATTTTTGGAGATAGAAATATTTAACTTAGAATATTTTAATATCAGTATCACTTAACATTAAATGAACTTAGTTATTTTAAAGGTCAAATATTTTCACATGTTATATTTTTGCATATGTCGTTGTGTGCATGCTATATTTGTAGGTAGCCTTATTATTTAATTGTGAAGGAAGTAGGCTACATGGACTTAGCAGTTGATGCCGTGTTTTAGATGTCCTTGGACTTGGTAGTTTGAAGATTGTGATAGTTTGACTTATACATCTATAGAGATAGACGTTCTGGGACTTAGCAGTTTATTCAACGAGATATTTTGACTTTGATGATTTTGGGTCATTGAAGTTAGAATATACATCTACATTGAAGAGGTTCCAGGATTTAGCAGATTATTCAACGAGATATTTTGACTTTGATGATTTTTGGTCATTGAAGTTAGAATATACATCTACAGAGAGGACGTTCCAGGACTTAGCAGATTATCCAGCGAGATATTTTGACTTTGATGATCTTGTGTCATTGAAGTTAGAATATACATCTACATTGAGGAGGATCCAGGTGATAGCCGTTCACAGAGCTGATAGTTTGACTTGGATTATTTCATATAATCAAAGTTGAATTATACTACAACTTAGAGAGAAGGATCCAGGAGATAACCATTTACAGAGTTGATAGTTTGACTTAGATTATTTCACATAATCAAAGTTGAATTATACTACAACACATTGAGGAGGATCCAGGACTTAGGAGTTTACACAACTGATAGTTTGACTTAGATTATTTCACATAATCAAAGTTGAATTATAATACAACACAGTGAAGAGGATCCAGGAGATAGCCGTTTACAGAGCCGATAGTTTAACTTAGATTATTTTACATAATCAAAGTTGAATTATACTACAACTCAGAGAGGAGGATCCAGGACTTAGGAGTTTACACAACTGATAGTTTGACTTAGATTATTTCACATAATCAAAGTTGAATTATACTACAACACATTGAGGAGGATTCAGGAGATAGTCGTTTCCAGACTTGATAGTTTGACTTAGATTATTTCACATAATCAAAGTTGAATTATACTACAACACATAGAGGAGGATCCAGGAGATCGCCGTTTACAGAGAAATAGTTTTACTTAGATTATTTCACATAATCAAAGTTGAATTATACTACAACACAGAGAGGAGGATCCAGAAGATTTACGTTTACAGAGCAATAGTTTGACTTAGATGATTTTACATCCTCAAAGTTGAATTACACTATAATCCAGAGAAGAGGATCCAGGAGATAGCCATTTACCGAGCTGGTAGTTGACTTAGATGATTTCACATCATCAAACTTGAATCATACTACACTACATAGAAGAGGATCCAGGAGATTACTATTTCAGGTTCAAGTTACAAGTAAAATACAAGACTTACAAGGGTTACAACATATATGGACTTTTAATATTGGAGATACAACAGTGGTATATAGTGATCATCAACTTTAGTTTATATGGACTCTGGATATTGTGTTATTAGTGATTATTATTAGCTTATATGGACTTTTGAGTTGTGAGTTTTGAGAGAGATATTAAAATCGTAACACTCTTACAATTAGACTTGAAATTTAATGTACATCTTTATTTGGGCTTATAAACGCCACAATATACTGTTTTATATTTATATTTAATTGTATATGTCTGTTTAATTCTTTAGGGACAATCGCACATTTAACGTGTGCCGTGTAACTCACCAAGTAAACACCGTTTACTAAACAGTGGGCCTATTATAAGCCACGCTACCACGTATATCCACAAAAATAGGCCAAGCTGTTACATTGGTGGCAGCGGTGTTGGGATTGACTGTTTCTGAGGAATTGAACCAGAGGCACATTATAGCACTTTAAAGTCTAAAGATGTAGAGAAGACTGTCTTTGTAAAGTTAGCTACAGGCGGGGAGATAGATAATCCCATAGCCAAGGATGACACTCTTCAATATACAGGAAGAAAGGCTACGGAACACATGGCTACAGAACTCCCAGCGATGGAGAAATGGAGGTTGCCAAGTGAGGCAGATCCAGATGAGAGACGTCGTACAGTTGGTGGTGCAGAAGCAATCTACCCTAGTGATAAGACTGGGATAGAAACAGAGTTTAAGAAAGCCTGGGGTGGACAGACTACTGGCTATTGGTCAGGCACAGTACATGATGGTGCTTATAGTCCACAGAGTCAAGCATGGGGAGCCAGACCCAAAGGAGATAGATATATGCCTCGCACCTCAACAATGATAACTACACCTGCAGAACTTAAACTGGGCACGCAGGAAAGACCAGTTGATAGAGAAATGAAAACACATATACATGTTATGGAAGATGCCATTAATCAGAATGTGACTACCATAAACATGATGGAAGGACAGGTGTCTAACATGGAGGGACACATGTCTCATATAGAAGGACAGGTGGCTAACATGGAAGGACACATGTCTAACATGGGAAGCCAGGTCAACAACATTGGAGGAGATTTAACACAGATGAAAGACCAGATGAACAATTTATGCCAGACATTACAGATGGTATTGCAAAGTTCAACTTCTCGTCCTGAACCAGTTTTACAGGGTGACGTCAGACCTTCAAGTCCTGTAGTGAAATTAGGAACAAGTGTAGACACCAGAACAATGTTACAGGCTAAGTCCAGTGCGACTCCTCAGAGATTACAGTCTCGAGAAGTTCTTTCTACGTTTAATCCACAGCAAGGAGTGGTAGGGGGGCCTACATTAGTTAATTAACTGCTGATCAACCCAGAATAGTAACTCCCCCAAAGTGGCCACTCAGACGCCAGAAGAGAATTGCTTCTGATGAAGATTTTCCAGGACTGCCAAAGAGACCTGCATTTAAGAGTCCTCCGACAAAAAGGAGAGTTGTAGCTGTAAAGTCAGAAGCTGACTTTAGATCCAGTGA